CTCGAAAATAAACTCTTTGTTCTATGCATCGATCCGATTTCAGTAGGTACTTTTAGTTGTATTTCCTTTTTTTTTATTTTTCAGCGCAGGTTAAAAATTTCAGTCCCACTTGCGAGCCAATGCATTCAATATATAAGATATAGAAATAAAAACAAAAAGAAAGAAAAAATATGCTTCTGCATTAAATAAAAGCATGGGAGTTTTAAATTGACACTGATCTGCGATTGACTGATGTGAGAACTGTCAAAAATCGACTAGAAAAAAAAAATTTATTCGAAAGAAAGAAAAAACAAAAAATAGAAAGAAAAGAAAACGATATTCTTCAAAACAAATCCCACTACTGACTTTATAAAAAATATTAAAGATAAAATGGAACATTTGCTTTTGTCTCAGAAACTAAATTCATTCGCCATTGAAATTCATAATTTATTTTATTTTTTCTTGAAAGTAAGTATTCTGTTATATCTTACATAGTCTTTCGTTTAATCAATTTCAGTAGGAAAAAAAATTCTTAGCGTTTACCTCAGCATTTTCTACATCATCTAAAAATCAAAAATAAACTTTTTCAATACTTTATTATTTCTCATTATCTATGAACTTAATTTACAAATATGTCCTTTCTTGAGTTTATGATTATAATAACTATTTACTGATAAAAAATTAATATTAATCATGAATATAAGCTTATAAAGTATCTGGCTCTCCCTTACAAACAAATAAAATAAACTGTGTTTTTAAGATCCACCTTGAAAATTTGATTTTCGGAAACTTCTGTGATCAATGATTTTTTTAAACATCTGGACCTTCGATTTCCGGATCACTGTTAGTGAAAAATCTGGATTTTTTCCAGAGCAATCAGCTCTGTTATTACAAAGTAGTTTTAAATTGATTTTTTTTATGCTTAACTGTTTTGGTTAGAAAAGATTAAAATTTTTTGTAATGATAAACAATAAGATGATTTTTTAATTATGAGGAAACTTGTTCCTTTTAGAATTTATCATAGCCTTTTTTATGAAGCTAGAACGAACCCAGCTAAAAAAAGTTTCGTAACACCTGTCTACAACTAGTGATCAAAAGAACAATTTGTTTAATTTTCCATATGTTCTGCTGTCATTCCTAACCCTTCCTCACACAGGTCATTGTGCTAGAAAGAACAAAACATTTTCTCTTCCTTCCGAATTTCCCAGTTCAAAGAGGAGAGGAAGTGTATAATTTAATTTTTACTCACACTAAACTTATGTTAGGCTGTCAATGTCATAAATATTTTGGACATCATAGAATTCTTCCGTAAGTGTCGCCCCTCCTATGACTGCAGTGACCATTAATTTTCTTTTTAGCAAATTCATTTTCTTTTTAACTATTCATTTCCTTTACTGAAAATTGAAGGTCATTGGAGAATCTACATTTCGAAGGCTGCGGTTACACATGATGCACCTGGAATAAGATGACCTAGTGTGGGAAGGGGTGCCGTTTGTATTTCCACATATTCCACTGCTGTCTTCACGTTCTTCAGTTTGTCTGCCCTACCTGTTCTACAGGTCTTCATACATTCCCTTCTCTTTCTCTTACCTTACCACTACACGCTTTTGCGTGAAAGATGTTCCTTCCTTGAAGTCGGATGATGACATAGAAAATAAACTAGATGATTTACAACCGTTTGTTTTGTTCTGACAGTGAAGAATATGATTTCAATGATTTTGAATAAATATATAATCAGAAATATTTGAGAAGTAAATAAAAAAATGGTTGATTTATTTTTATTGTGTGATCAGTTTATTTTTCATCGCATACACATTCTCAACTTACGATTTTGATTGGTTATACATGCTTCTTCTGTAAGTAAGTATCATTCTCAATTCTTCTTTTTTTTTATAATAAGGGTATTCATAAAAAAAGATTTATCAATGACTATTTTTAAGTATAGAGTTTATGTTTTAAAGATTATTATATTTTAAGTGTATTTTCACACATGTGATATCTGATAAACATCGATAATTGATCGGAAAAAACGAAAGTGCGGCTTTGGCGGCAGTGCAGCCTTTAAGATGAAAATTGAAATCTTTCGCAGTGTTTTTTGCGGTTGCAGCTTGTCCACCAGATATTAACTCTTTTCTCCCAAAGCAAGCGATTAAAAAAAAATCAGGGTTTAAAAAACTCAGGAGAAATTGGGGTTCTTCATTTAGTGCTCACAAACTTAAAGTTTTACTGTGTAAATATTCATTTATTAAAAAGTGTTGTATAAGCTTAAAAATAGAAATAAATCCAAAAAGCTATTTTAATTTTTTTTATACATTTTATATTAAGTTTAAACAATGCATTATCACTAATACATATTTGAATCTTCTTAATTGTTATGTACATAATGTTTCACAATTTTGAACTCAAGCATTATAAAATATAAATGTAATAATATAAAAGGAACAAGTTTATTAATCTTTTTGTTTTCACACACATATATTTACTATATTTATTAAACATATATATATATATTACTTACTATAAAATTATATTCAGTAGATATTTATAATCAGTAAAAACTAAAATTTCATCTTACTTTTGACTTTAATAAAAACGGAAATAAATATTTAATGGTCCTTTGTGTTTTTATAATAAGATTAGTAGAAAGTGGAATTAAGCATAATTATAAAGAGTATTCGTTACTTGTCCCATTTTTTTTTTACAACTAATTAAATCTAGGAAAATGATATCATTTTTAGATAAATAACTTTAAAAAGCTCTCGCATAAAAAAGTTTTAGCTTGTTTTTTAAAGCCAGAAAATAAAACTGTTTAAATTTGTTAATGTATCACCTAGTAAAAAAAAAAAATTTCACTTGGCGAACCCTGCAAAAAATAGTTGCCAAAATATTAGCAATAGGTTGTCGAGCAATATGCTTTTCCCCTGATCTTAACTGAGTAAGTCCCCTGATCTCGACCTAATGTTCCAGTTTAAGCGCTTGTAGGCTTTGTACACTTGGCCGATCACGTGCTAGGAACATTAGGAGGAATTTGATTGGCTTCAGACACGCTTCGTTTTTGAAGCAAGTAGTAGTGCAGTAGCGACAAACTCAGCGATAAAAAAGTAGAAAAATCTGAAATATTAATTAAAAACCGAAGAACAGTTAAAACAGGAAATCTTACGGATAAACTGGACGAGTTGGCAGCTATGACGATGGAATTGAGCATGTAAAAAAAAAAAGATTCTAAATATTAGTGCCGTAATTTTACGCTCCAATAAGTCACGTGTAAAAGGCTGAAAAATTGACAGACCATTACCATGAAATTATAGTGAATCAAATATGTCAAAAAGCTATTACTCAAGTTTACAACTCTCAAGTCTTAATAAAATAGTATAAAAAAACAAATTTGGAACTTTGTAGTAATAATTCTAAAGCCCAAGCATATCCACAAGCATACTAAATTTTAAGCTGATCAATCGCATATTGTGACATGGAATATGCTTATGATAAATCAAGTGAACCAGTACATAGAATTAAATACATATTTAAGAAGCAGTGCATTAAGAAGCATGCTGAAGTTCTCTTGAAATAATAAACGAAAATAGAAAATCTTTAAATCTATGTTACTACAGTGCCCGCCGTTTATTAAAATCACTTTCGTGTTATGCTCTTTTGATTTTATTAAGCGGCTGATTTTATTAAGAGGCGATTCAACATTTGAAAAAAAAAATAATTTTTACGATCGATTCTAAATGCACACACTTTAAAATTTGAAATAATGACCACATTAATGCTTTATTTTAACTAATTTAATTATTTTAATAAAGTAAAACCCAACATAAGATTAAATTTACAAAAGTTTTGCAAAAAACCGATCAATGGTTGCTTGAGTTGCAGTATTTAAAATTAACTTTTCAACATCATTTGAGAGTTTATAGAAGTTTTTATAGTTTTCGATATTCCTCCTCTTTGTTTTAAGGCTTGCCGCAATACATTAAGTGCTTTTCTGACTTCCATTAAAGATGGCACTGATGAGTTCATTTCATCTTCTGAGTCTGATTCCTCCACTTCTTGAAGGGAAATAACTTTGCAATTTTTGATGTCTATAACAATTTCAGAATCAGATTTTTCTCCTGATGTTTGCTGGTTATCGTCAATAGTTACGTAACGTGAAAAATTCTCGTCCATTTCATTTTCTTCATTGCTGATCATTTCTTCGAAACAGTTATGAGCCCTATCTCCATCTCTATTGAAGCTTCATGTTGACTACATTTAGGAAGCTTATCATAGTTTTGCGACACTTCGAATTTATCTTTAAGACTCATATCCTTCCTTTTCGGCATGCTGATAAAATTTAACACTAAACGAACTTAAAAATGATATGTGCTCTAACTTTAATTTACTCAAACGACTTAAATAATATGGAACATGCGCACAGACAGTTTTTGGAAATCTATTCATGTTCTCTGTTAAGATAGATAACAAAAGAAGCTTCTCTCCCTTCTATGGTTCATTTAATTAAAATTAAGATAAGAATTCGACCCCCTGTTGAGTGAGATAGGTTTCTCCAAACTTCATTCAAGTCAAGGAATTAACATTGATTTCTATGAACTCGCCGCTTACCACCCACATTTTTCCTTAACTCTTACACTATGTATATCGCAGGAAAGTGCTAACCACACCTGTTTCACAGGATTGTGAGTAACTGTTGCCTCTTCTAAAAAAATCTTTAAACTTCGAAAAAATAATATTTTATAAATAAGAACAAAAAAAAAAAGCTGAAATATTGCACCTTTGATTTTAAAAAAAGGCGGCATTGATTTTATTAAAGGATGTTTTTAACATGTATTAATATTGTAACGATTCGGTTCTCGCCGATTTGATTTTATAAAGCGGCTGATTTTATTAGCGGCGGGCACTGTACAATTAAAAGTTTATACATAAAAAATTTTTCAATATGAACTTATCAAATAAATCCCATCATTAAGAGTAGCAATAGATAAAACACAATGCACATGAATTAATCAAAATATAAAATTTACCTGATCGAGAAACTAATTCAATATCATTTCCTTGAAGAATTAATTCATCTTTTTGCTGGGAAGAATTTTGACAAGTTACACCAGGTTGCATTTCCACTCTTCTTACAATTTTCTCACCCAAGAAATTTCTAATTTCAACCATTGATCCATCTTTAGACGTTGTAACATTGATTGGGAAATGAGCATACACTGATCTCATTTTGTATTGATAACCCTAAAATTGCATCAAGAAATTTCAGACTCATTTTTATCTAATATCACAAACTAATGCATTAATTTATAGGGTCAGGTGGGGGTAAAAGTTGGTATAAAATCAAGCTTCCTTTTAAAAAGGCTCTAAAACCAAACCATTAAATTTATTTCACTGAAAATTTTGATGCATTTTATATACACTGGATTCATATAAATTAAATATGAAGCATAATTTATCTATTTTGTTTGATTGTTTTCTTACTATAATACATACAAAAGAACACGTTTTGATTATTAATTTCACTAAAAAACATACGTAAATATTGATTTAGAAATAAAAATGCTCTTAAATAAATGCATCATAATCATATTTTTAAAAAAAGTAAATGCTAATGGCTATTAAAACTCAGTTTCACTTCAGGAGTAGTATATTTTGCTGAATTCTACCTAATTTCATCAAAAAGCATGAAAGCTGCAATAGGTTTTGGTTCATTTGAAATATATATGAGAAAGTTAAAATAACTATAGTGGTAAAAATATTTATTTTGATCAAATCAAATTATCTATATTTTAAAAGGAGGATTTCTTATTTAGCATATACCCTACATTACCCTTGTAATTTAATTATAATTTTAATGATCTTATCAATCAAATCAAGGCACCACTAAAGTGTGACAGCCATAAGACCCCTTAACTCATTAAATGAACTGGATCAGCAATGAATCACATGTGAGAGATAGTTCAGGTATAAGTAGGTGCTATTTTAAGACTTAGCAGTAATAGCTAAATTACACCAGCCAGCCTCAGAAATTCAAAGAGACAGAGATTTTTGGTGACCACAGCAAGGTTAGGGATTTTTCCGAAAGAAACTTATTACTTTCAAGCAGGCCCGGACTGGGATCTAAAATCGGTCCGGGCATTTTAGAGATATCGGCCCTCTACTTCAGATAAACACTGCGTACGCGACTCCTAATGTATCATTTTTAGGCATTTTTTACTTATAAATTTTCATACACGCAAGTTAATTTATTGAAGTAAGAAAGTAGATAAAAATTGCTTAATAATTCTTTATAGAATATATTTCAGTTTAAAATGCATGGTTCTTATGAGGAAACAGGTTGATAAAATCAAAAAGGTGAAAGATGAAGAGTAAATAAAAATATTTACACATACACATATTATACTACACATACATGAATAATTTATACAAACATTTTTTTAAAAATAGATTTAATGTTCTTCAAAAGTTATTAAATTAAAATTTAATTTAATGACTTTTGAAGAAGCTAACTATTTTCTGCCACTTTATCGATTATGTTGTCGCTATCTAATTTCATTAATAGATCTTTTTCTATTGCCATTACCATGAGAGCATTCAAATTATCCGAAGATAAAGCACTCCTCATTCGATTTTTAATTACTTTTAATGGGGAGAATGATATTTCCCAAGCCACCTGACTTATTGACAATGTTAGTAAAAATTTTAATGCTGGACCAATTAAATTGTAAGAATTGGTCAATAAATTGAATCTCTGTAATATCTTGTAGCAACAAATAACACAATTTTTGCACGCACTGCGTGTCTTCTTCTTCTGTTTCCAAAGTAAACTCGCTATTATCTTCATTTGAATGGTCTTGTCTGATTATTTTATAATCTTCTAAGTCTGAATTTTTCAGTTTTTCCCAATGTAAAGCTAAATTTCTTAGTTCAATCCACAAATTTTCACCTATAGCTGTTTCGTCAAATTTTAGCAAGAGTTTGCTTAACTCATTTAGTTCGCCTGATTGAAGCTTGTTAAGACACCTTTCAGGGAAATATTTCGGATCTAGATAGGAAAAATCGGCGTACAATTTTCCATTTGCGGGAAACCGGCGTTCCATTGACACTACAACTATGCTGAAAATAATGTTATGGACGTTTATCTTAAATGCAGTGGTTTCAGCATCAAAAACTGTTTCATTCGGCGCTATCTCACCCGGCATCAATTTTCTTTTCTTCACTCTTTTTTGTGGAAACTTTTGTTTGAATTTCTATTTCAGTTTCAGTTACTTCTAATTCCTTATTTGCACGAATAATAAAATCATCTGTAACTTTTTGTACACCTTCAAAATCTCTCACTATTCTTTTAGTTCTGAACACGTTTGTGATACCATTTCAAAAGCTTTTAAGATGTCTAAACCAGAGGTTTGCAAATATAGTTAATTCAAATATTCTTGAGAATATTTTGGCAGTGACTACTGTTTGATATTTGCAAAATGATTCCAAAAATAGTTTTGCCTTTCAAGGATATCAGGCTTGAAATTTGAATTTTGCTGTAAAGTTTCTAAGCTTGTAATCAATGTGACATATAACGGCTTTATAGTTGAATCTGAGTTTGAAAATAAACCAAAAATTTTATTTAATGCAGAATTTTTGGACCACCAACATGCTTCTCCAACATGCTTTTCCGTGCTCGCTACTTTGTTCCCAGATGTTCATGCGTTGGAATGATTCACGCAAAAATACTGTGACCCTATTTAGTAGGCTGAAAAACGATGCACTTTCAATTAGTGTCTCCGTGGTATCTCCTAAAACTAAATTTAAGACATGTGCATAACACCAAACATGAATTTGACCAGGGGACTCTTTGGAAAGCCATGAAGAAAATCCTTTATATTCACCTTGCATATTTGCAGCCCCGTCAGTTGAATTACCGATGCACTTTGTTATATCTATATTACAAGACTTTAAAATTGAATCCACTAAAGAAAACATTCTGTTCGGTTGAAGATTTACACTCTATAACAGCGAATCGACCACAAGGAATTCAATAGTGATATTGTTAATTCCCGCAAGTAGCCGGAAGTACCGGAATTTGAACACAACTTTGACTTTTTTAAATAGAAACCTATATCTTATTTGGCATCAATGGAGAGAGTTTTTGAAAAGAAATAACTTTTACTTCAAATATTTTTTAATATCTTTTTCTATTTTCAAGATAATAGATAAGAAAAAATACATATTAAATAGATTTTGACATATTCACTAAAAAAAAAATTTTTCGTCATAATGTCTTATACCTTTATTAAAACACATTTGTGCTTTTCTTCCCATGTTTTATAAAAATTGAAGCTATTTTAATAATTTTTAAGTTAATTATTTTTGGTAAAAATGATAAATTGAAGTAAAAAATGATAAATTGAAGTAAATAATCAGAATTTTTTTGTATCTATTATCTTGAGATATAAAAAAAAAGAGAAGTAAGAGATATAAAAAAAAATTTCAAGTAAAAGATACTTTTTTCGAAAACCCTCTCCAGTGATGCCAAATAAGATATAGGTTTCCATTTAATATATCAAAATTGTAATTCCATTTAATATATCAAATTCCGGTACTTCCGGGAATTAACAATATCACTATTGAATTCCTTGGGGTAGATCCAGTTATTAGATTTTTCATTTCAAATCAATTATTTGCTCCATCCTCGAAAAAAATGGGTGGCACGCATGGTCTGAATCACCCTGTATATTAAAACAATATTATTACTACATATATCATATGTATGTTATTTAATATTATTATTTGCACAATATGTTTTGAAATTCATGCAATGTATAAAAAAAATTTGCGCTTCTCGCTCGGCCCAACCGGCCCTCAGGTCAGACAGGCCCACCGGGCATTTGCCCGGTCTGCCTACTTGCCAGTCCAGGCCTGCTTTTAAGACACTGGAAGAAAGTGGGAAACAGAACAAAATGGAAAAACTGTCCAAACAAAACCAAAAATGACCAAAGATACTATATGTAATTTATTTTGAATTTTCCAATCCCTTACTTCCCTACTTAAATATGTACAAGTATATCTACATCAACAATGTAATTTAGCATATGTTAAAAATGTTTGATAAAAATAACTTTTTTGGTTTGGATCTGAAACTTTATAGCATGGCTGTATACTTTCTCACAGGTTGCATTTCTTTAAGTAATGACCAAACTTTTCAGTACAAATTACTAATTGGGACAGGGTAAACTATCATGCAATATGGTTTCTTTGCATAAATAAAACCATACTATGTAACAATATTATGATTTAACTTGTGAAGATTTTATCCCGCACAATAAATCAAACACACTACTGTTCACCGTCAAAGACTATCTTAGTTTCTCGTCTCTAAATATGAAGATGGGTCTAATACATGATACTGAGCGACATGAATCAGAAATCACTTTTGTGCATGAATCAACCGCAAAAAGTATATGATGTATCCTTTTTATTTTTAATGACTTCATTTTTGGAAAATTACAGTGAGACTCTTATAGCTTAGCAATTATAATGCATTATTCTGTTCTGAACAGAATTAAAGAAAGAAATAATATAATAAGTTTCATAGTTTTCTCTAACCATGAAGATGGGTACCACGGTTCATACAGAGATCAGAAGAAGAAATCCAAGGAGTCCAAAATCTTAAGGACTTATCAAAAATTTTAAAACTTTGGGTAAAAGATAGTTTTTTTTTTAAATTAAAAAGCAGTTATTATAAGGAACTTGCAAAAATGTATATTTTGAATTATTTTTCTATCCCTTTTGAAATAAATTTTGACTTTGCCAAAATTCGTCAAGAAAAATAAATTTTCACCTTTACACATAAATACCTTTTCCAGTTTCGAATATTTTAATAAATCTTGTTAAAGTACAGATGTTAAGGATTGATATAAAAACCTACCAATCTTATATTTTAAAATTAGAATACATAAGAAAATCTAAGGCATTTTATATTTAAAAAAAAAAAACAGTAAATTATTAATTATGTTTGCTTATAACATGTAAACTTATTTGCTGTTATTTTACTTCTTCTAACTCTTGCAATTCAATTTTTATTCTTTTTTAAGTTTTTCTTAAACTACTTGATTTTGACAGCTAAGTCATATCCAATGGTGCAAGCGGCTAAACATGGCTTTGGGGCAACAAAAAAGCAATTTTGGGGCAGCGAAACGAAGATTTGGAGCATATTTAATAAAAAGAATTACAGGGTGGCCTCTCAAATCAGATTTCAAATTTCCCTGATTTTTTCAGGTTTTTCAGGTAAAAATCTTAAAATTTCCAGGTTCATGTTTTTTTCCTCTCTTATAAAGTGTAGGATGTGTACAGTCCGCAAAAAAAAAAAAAAAAAAAAAAAAAAAAAAAAAAAAAAAAAAAAAAAAAAAAANTTCTAATGATCGGATTTTCACGAACTGAGTGTCAATCTTAATGATTCATGGGGGTGATCTCAAATATGCTAATTAATTATTGCTAACTAGTAATTAAATTACGAAATCAGACACAAAAACTTACTTTCTCTGAATAAACACATTTTTTTTTACATATTTGGATTCTTAACCTTCAAAATATAGGGGGTAGCCGCAATCTGGGATCTATTAAAATTTAAC